GCTTGAACCTGAGAGGCGGAGGTTGCAGGGAGCTGAGAATGTGCCATTGCACTCCAGCCTAGGTGACAAGAGTGAAACTCTGTCTCAAAAAAAAAAAAAAAAAAAAAATTGGCCAGGTGCAGTGGCTCACACCTGTAATCCTAGCACTTTGGGAGGCTGAGGTGGGTGGATCACGAGGTCAGGAGTTCAAGGCCAGCCAGTTGGAGACCATCCTAGCCAACATGGTGAAAACCTGTCTCTACTAAAAAATGCAAAGTATTAGCCGGGCGTGGTGGCGGGCGCCTGTAGTCCCAGCTACTTGGGAGGCTGAGGCAGGAGAATGGCGTGAACCCGGGAGGCAGAGCTTACAGTGAGCCAAGATCCCGCCACTGCACTCCAGCCTGGGTGATGGAGGGAGACTCCGTCCAAAAAAAAAAAAATTAAAAAATTAGCCAGGCGTGTTGGTGGGGGCCTGTAATCCCAGCTACTCAAGAGGCTGAGGCAGGAGAATAGCTTGAGCCCAGGAAGTGGAGATTGCAGTGAGCCGAGATTGCGCCACTGCTCTCTAGCCTGGACCACAGAGCAAGACTCTATCTCAGAAAAAATAAAAAATAAAAATAAAAGAGACAAAACCAGAAGACAGGATTTACTACCCTGTGCTATGTTAATGAGGAAAAAAAGGACAAAAACTTGAGGTCAGCTTTTTTAATACAGTCATTTAAAAAATAATTTTGAATAAGAAAAGAGGTAAATGTAGTCACAGATTAAGGCAAAGACAGTACTGAGAATCAAATTGGTAGTCCAGGTCCCAGGCTGTTCTAGAACATATAGTCTCTCTCTTCTTTGGGATTTGTATTCTAGATTGGAGGAGGCATGTGTAGCCATTGCCATCTGGCACTTATTTTCTCAGGCTGTCAAGCTGTATCTGATTTAGTTCAGTAAAAAGAAAATTTAAGTTCGATTTTTTTTTTTTTTTCACCTGAGATGTAAGAGGAACTTCTAAAATACTGGCCTGAGAAAACCTAATCTCTCTTTGGTTATTTCCGTAGCTCAACTTAAGTGGAGGACAACTTGAGTGGAGGGTTCAATGATAGGAAATACAATCTCTTCAGTATCATTCAGTGTTGCTTAAAAGGCTTACACATCTGTCCATCTACTGAGGGTACATGTCTACCTCAGAAGTCAGCTTGCCAATTCTACCCAATAGGTGAAGCGGTAAACACAGGTGAAGCGGTAGGCTTAGGGTCAAGAGACCTGTTAGTATTGCTCCTCTGGCTGCTCTCTGTCTTTTTCTATCTAGGATCACACGCATAGACAGAGTTTAAGTACATTTTCCTTAGAGTCGTATAAAAGTTTTAGCTCATTTGCTAACCTATTGGCTAAACTATTTAAACTATGGCCTAAAACTTTAATAAACAAATATATCAAACAGAAAAAACAGGCCGAGTA